TTTTTCATACATTTCGGCACGAACAAATTGAATTCGCCAGTTAATTTGTTTTAATTATTTGCCAGTTGGCTTGTTTTAACTCCATTGGCTAACAGCACTCGTTGCTAATTGTTGATTATTTAATTTGATTTTTGCTTAGCCCATTGCAAGGTCAACTCAAATGATCTGGATAATTAAAGCTGTCAGTCAGGGGCGTTGATATAGAAAAATTTAGATGAAATTGGAACATGAGCGATGGATGGACTCAATATGCATTAACCGTTTTCCGGTTTAGTTTTTTTTTTGCCACCTATTTCCTCTTTCTTCTATTAGCAGTCACAAGTTCTGTCGGATGTAAACAAATCGTATAATCTGCACTTTGCCCTGCACAAATCATTGCCAAAAAACGGTTTATTTATATATACTGTTAAAAATCCGGTAATGCACATAGTTCATTTCCCCCTTTAGTTCGTTTCATTTAATCATCTGAAAGTCAAGGAATGGTTTGAAAAATAACATTGTAAGTTAGCTTGTCATAAAACATATTTACAGTTTGTTTAGTCTGAGAAACTCTTACAGTAATTTACTTACTTCATTAAAAATTTAAGCAAACAAATAGAAAATCGTACGTGCTGTGAAAATATGCCTCAAGGCACTTAACTATATAAATAACGAGGCTTTTAACCCGTCAAACCCTGAGTCTCAACTAAACAGCTGTCTTTTACTACCTTCAATACAATTTGTATATTTTTTAGCATTTATTGCACGTATTTTCCAACAAAAGTTCGATGTATTTGCTTAAGCGATTTCCCCTAGTGACCATATTTTGTCAAGTTCAAGACTACCTACGCACATGCTCAGCTTAACAAATTAAACAATTTGCTTAGATTCAACTCGAGCAAATAGTAGTTCACAATAAATAAACAGAGTGACTTAAGAGTGCATTGTTTGTTGAGAGCAATAGCATTTTCTTTTTACTTAAGAGATGGAAGAGCTTTTTCCCATGAAAGAGAACATAGTTAATTGTTGTCTAAGTTGAAGTGAGTAAATGTATTAAAAAAAGTGATTTCAGACTAATTGAGCTAAATTTTCTTTGAGGAAAATTAAGTGATAAAGTTTTGTTATAAAAAAAAAAATTTGGAAATACTGCAGTTTCTTAACTCTTCATAGGCCAATTTAATTAAAAATGCCAAATTTTCTTAACTCTTCTGCAGTTGAGTATGTTTTTAAGTCAGTTACGTTCAGTAACTTATAGAAAGCCTCGAAGGGCAGACCAATTTTTGGCACTTTCAAAGGGTTAGTCTTCAACCTGGCAATGCAGTTAGAAAATTATCAGATAATGTATAAAATAAGACTAAAGTGATTTTCTTAAACTTTTCAATAAAGACATCTAAGAAATAGTTAAAAGTTAAAATGTAAAATACGAAGATAAGAGTTTATTTGTACACAAAATGAATGCATTTGAAAGAAAAATTGTGTATAATCAGGAGTCATTTCCTAACTGTAATGCGCTGTTTATTTTTTGTATTTATTGCACGTTGCACTAAAAAAGTCCAACGAATTTCATTTGATGACTTCCCCAATTAACCGCTTTTTTCAAGTTCAAAAACCACCGACGCACATGCTTAGCCTGACAAATTAAACACTTTGTTTAAATATAACTTGAGCAGAGTGCAGTGTTTGAGAAGAGAAAATCGCACTTTTAAGTTTTAAGAGATGGAAAAGCTTTTGCTAATAAAAGAGAATATTCCACATTTTGTTTATGTTTAGTTAGGTATATAACACGGGTAGAGAGGTTTTAAGATCCATAATGATTATGATTTTTTAAATAATTATAGCTTTTTTAAATTTCTGAAAGTGTTTGGCCGTTTCGTTATTAAAATTTTTATGTAATTATAATTTTAAAAAAATGTTTTTGATTTCTTTTAGTTTGCCGGGTCAGTATGACGGCAAGCAAGCAGCAAGAGGCCGAGGCCGAGGCCGATCACGATCCCCAAGTGGTGGTTGCCCCTGGAGATGCCTCCCGTAGTTCTCGCAAGGAGCGGGGCCTTTGGCGGGATCTGACTTCCTACTGGATTCTCGGTCTGTGCAACAACTACGGATATGTGGTGATGCTAAGTGCTGCCCACGATATTATCAAGCAGTTTAATCCGGTGAGCAATCAATCCTTTTATTATTTAAATTTAATTGTAAAAATGGATGTATACTTATTTATTATTTATTTATTATTTTACAGAATGATGAGAGTGAAGACAGCTCTTCGGGTCGGAATTGTCACCTGGTATCGACGGGGGCTATTTTGCTGGCTGATGTGCTGCCCTCATTGTTTGTTAAGATACTAATGCCTTTCTTTCCATTTTGGGTCAAGTGAGTAGTCCTAGTTTTATAGGGGTGTTACCAAAAAAAACAGAAATTATAATGACCTAAATTTGAATAAATGTTTGAATAATTTAAATTTAATTTATAATAATTTATTTGCAGCTTTCGCATAGCTATCGCTGTGGCTTTTTCCGCAGCTGGTTTTCTGCTGGTTGGATTTGCCAATGCCGAATGGATGGCCCTCTTGGGAGTTATCATCACCTCAGCGAGCAGTGGAATCGGAGAGACCACTTTTTTGGCCTATTCATCGCGATACAACAAGTGAGTTTCTAAAGAGGGAAAATCCCTCAAAGGAATCTCCCTAATTCCTTTCCTTTCCCTTAGAAACGTGATATCCACCTGGTCATCCGGAACTGGTGGTGCCGGAGTCATCGGTTCCCTGAGCTATGCCAGCTTGAGATCTCTGGATTTCAGTCCCAGAGACACAATGCTGATTATGCTGATCTTCCCCGCTATCGAGGCCTTCGCCTTCTGGCTGCTGCTGCGTCGTCCACAGGTTGACATTCTGCCGGTGACGACAGTTGAGTCAACGGAGGTCCTTATCAACGACGAGAAGCCTTTGGTTGGCTTCAAGGAGAAGTTCTTCTACATCAAGCACCTCTTCAAGTATATGTTGCCCCTGTGCCTGGTGTATTTCTTCGAGTACTTTATTAATCAGGGATTGGTAAGCTAAATATTAAGCTATCAAGTTTTAAGTATATAGTAAATACTCCCTTGATCTTCCAGTTCGAACTGGTCTACTTCGAGGACATTTTCCTGGACAAGGACTCGCAGTACCGCTGGCTGAATGTGGACTATCAAATCGGCGTCTTCATTTCCCGCTCCTCGGTCAACGTCTTTCAGCTGGACAAGATCTGGCTGATGTCCATCTTCCAGTTCGTCAACGTCGTCTACTTCCTCACCGAGGTCATCTGGTGGTACACGCCCAGCATCTGGATCGTGTTCGCCATCGTCCTGTGGGAGGGACTCCTGGGCGGCGGCGCCTACGTGAACACCTTCTATCGGATGTCCAAGGAGATCTCGCCGGAGCGCCAGCAGTTCGCCATGGCCATGGTGGTCCAGTCGGACTCGTATGGCATCGCCCTGGCCGGATTCCTGGCCATTCCCGTCCACAACGCCATCTGCGGTCTTCCGGCGGCGGCCAGGAGCCTCGTCTGGTGATGCGGATCGGAAACAGGATCAGGATCAGATTATGCCTTTACTGTGTGCTTGTGTAGCTAATTAAGCGTGTATGTCTGATAGTATTAATCAATGGAACAGTGGACTCCCAGGAGCCAGATAGATGGTTATGTAGTTAGTATGCTTCTGTTCGACTACCCAATAAGGCTTAGTTTAGTAAACAAAAGTAAACATTGTTTTGCACTAAAGCAATCCCTCGTTTTATTTTTAAACAATTTTGATTTTTTTATTAATTTAGTTACTATAACATTTGGTAAGTATTTCGTAATACTTTGTTCTTTTTCTAAGAAATATAATTATACCCTTGTAGAGGGTATTATAATTTCAGTCAGATGTTTGCAACGCAGTGAAGGAGACGTTTCCGACCACATAAAGAATATATATTCTTGATCAGCACCAATAGCCGAGTCTATCTAGCCATGTCCGTCTGTCCGTCTGTCCGTCTGTCCGTTTCTATGCGAACTAGTCTCTCAGTTTTAAAGCTATCGCGATGAAACTTTCCCGAAAGTCTTCTTTCTATTGCAGGTAGTACATATGTCGGAGCGAGCCGGATCGGACCACTATATCTTAAGGCTCCCATAGGAATATTCAAACATATATAAGAAAATTCATTGTTACTTGTAGGAAGTAGGCGTTTTAATTCTTGACTACTTAAAAACAAAATTGAAATAAATCGAAACGCTGAATCTGGAATCCCTGGAACTGCACCGAGTGAGTATTCTTTTATCTACAAGGGTATATAAGCTTCGGCTGGCCGAAGGTAGCTTCCTTTCTTGTTTTTGTTTGATTTTTTAGGCTATGCTCCCATTTTTCAAAGATCGATGATTTTTAAAATGCTTTAACCTTATTGTATAAAATGTTTACCAATTTAAATTTAATTTTGGATTAAGAGATTAAGTTACAATATAATTTTGTAAGTACTTCCTGATTTAACAGGTTATGATCTCAATTTCCAAAGATCGATGACTTTTTACGTTTTTTATTTAGATTGTTTTTATTCTTATTATTCCTGTTTTAAAGTATCTCAATATACAAAGACCAGATTTTCCATCAAAACCCACTGCATAGATCAAGAATGTTTTACATTGCCAATGTCACTTTTAGTTTATTCTGATCCAAATGATCACGGCTAACCACCTTCATAGGCATACTGAACCGAGACAGAATATGCCCCACTTGTTTTCGGTTTATTCAACTCCAACAAAAATCCACTTACATTTAAACGTATTTACACTTGCTTCATATTATAATTAGCGTGTTTGCTTTTGTTTTCGTTGGTGGCGCTCAATAATTAAATCAATTTGTTGGCGGCTGCTAATTTGGTTTGATCGATGTTGAATCGAGCGGCGATCGTTTAGTTGGGGAGTGAGATGACTGATTGGGAGATCGAGACCCAAACTGAGTCGGGGCGAGATGTTACGTGGACCCACTCCACTCGCATTTTCAGTCGATCGGGAGCCGCCGTGCAAAGCGGAACGCGTCAGTCTAATATTACGTGTTTGTCCAATTCGGAAATTGAGTAACCGAGATGCGGGGCTTATCAGCGTTTCTGCTTTTGCTCTGCCTCCAACGGGTGAAGTCTGATGGGGCTGCAGCCGCACGGAGACCCAACATAATCATCATAATGGCCGACGATATGGTGGAACTAGTTTCGCCCTAATATATCATCACATTTCTAAAACAACCCGAATTTCAGGGCTTCGACGATGTGAGTTTTCGCGGTGGCCGGGAGTTTCTGACGCCCAATATCGACGCCTTGGCCTATCACGGTCGACTATTGGATCGCCTCTACGCCCCCGCGATGTGCACTCCCTCCCGGGGAGCTCTACTCAGCGGTCGCTATCCCATACACACAGGTTGGTACTATAAGTCTATAATGTAAGTCTATAATACGGTGAATAGAAAACGCTTGAAATAGTTTGACAAAACGCAACCTTTTTTGGCATTTATTTATTGTATTTTTTTTCGATTTTAAACTTGTGTATATTGTCATCACTCAAAAACACCTTTAAACGGAATAAAAGAAATTACGATTCTAAATTTATAACATCAATAGTATGATAAAAAATAATTATAATTTAATTATATCAACATTAAAATTCCAGTTGATTTACTCGCTTAGAAATTGTTTTAAGATATGAGGTATAATATTTTATTAAAAAAAAAATTTTGAATACTTTTTAAAGGTAACATTTTGTTAAATTTTACTACAAAAAGTTTTAAATTGACTTTAAAGATTATACATAGGTATATTATGAACGATATTTATTCAATATCAAACATGTTCAAGCTGTGCAGGCTTTAATAGTGTTATTAAAAATACAAATGAATAATGTCATTTTTATAGGCACCCAACACTTTGTGATCAGCAATGAAGAACCTTGGGCTCTTACCCTTAATGCCACTTTGATGCCGGAGATCTTTAGAGACGCAGGCTACTCCACCAACTTGGTGGGAAAGTGGCATCTGGGCTTCTCCCGGCCGGAATATACACCCACTCAGCGGGGATTTGACTACCACTACGGCTATTGGGGTGCCTATATAGACTACTACCAGAGACGATCCAAGATGCCGGTGGCCAATTACAGTCTGGGCTACGATTTCCGGCGGAACATGGAGTTGGAGTGTCAGGATCGTGGAGTTTACGTCACCGATTTGTTGACCGCCGAGGCGGAACGGTTGATCAAAGAGCATGCCGATAAGGAGAAACCGCTTTTCCTGATGCTCAGCCATCTGGCTACCCATACGGCCAACGAGGATGATCCTCTGCAGGCGCCGGAGGAGGAAATACGAAAGTTTTCGTACATCAAAGATCCCAACCGTAGGAAGTATGCGGGTAAGAAAACACAATTATTATCATTATAATCAATGGCGGATTAATTTGTTGGATTTGGATTTTGTTGTGGGGGGTGATGTCAAAACCATTTTTTTTTTGCATAGTTTTTGAATACCAAAATTGATTTCATTTTTCACCAGAGTGAGGGGTGATCTCTTACCCATATCTGTGGTCTGAGGTCTGTGAGCCGACTTTATCTAAGTCATCGACTAAAAAATGTTTAAAGTTTTAGCCAGAAACAAAGCATTACACTTAAATAAATTTTTGATAAATTGTTCATAAATTTCTATAAGCCTCATATTTTTATCGTTAATTTAATATGAGGCTACTATCGATGAAAAAGTCATAAAAATGATCTTTGTAAAACACAACAAAGACAATTGTACTATCATTAAGATCAAGTATCAATTGTTCTATCTTGAAATTCAAAGATTGGGGTAATAGGCTAAGAAGTTGTTATTAAGCCCTAAAATTTCATTATAAGTCAGAATTAGGAGTACTTCTTATAGATATGCTCCGAATCATATAATGTAGCCGAGGGAAGGATTAGTGTATTAAGATGTTTATGATGTACATAATATCCTTTTAAGTTTTGTAACGTCTAGTCTTTTTTTCCCGAATATTACACTTTGTAACTTTTCGATCTAAGTCTTGCTTAAACTTAATTTACATTTTAAATTTAATTTACGGAATTTTGTAACGTTTTTTACCCCATTATCGATCTAACCCTTAGCGATGGTCTCCAAGTTGGACCAGAGCGTGGGCCGCATAATGAGCACTCTGGCCAGCGCGGATCAGCTGGAGAACAGCATAGTGATCTTCTACTCGGACAACGGAGCGCCCTCGGTGGGGATGTTTGCCAATACGGGTTCCAATTATCCGCTTCGCGGGCAGAAGAATACGCCGTGGGAGGGCGGAGTGAGGGTGGCCGGAGCCATTTGGAGTTCCCAACTCCAGGCACGTGGCTCAATCTTTAGTCAGCCCATCTATGTGGCCGACTGGTTGCCCACGCTTTCCCGAGCGGCGGGCATTGAGCTAGATGATTCCTTAAGGCTAGACGGGATCGATTTGTGGCCCCAGCTATCGGGATCGGCGGATGCCCCACATGTTCCGCGGGAGATCCTGCACATTTTGGACGACGTGTGGCGGGTGGGTGCCCTCCAAATGGGTCAGTGGAAGTATGTGAATGGCACCACTGCCGCCGGCCAATACGACTCGGTGCTTACCTACCGCGAACTGGACGATCTGGATCCCCGAGAGAGTCGTTATGCGGTGACGGTGCGGAATTCCCCAACTTCGAGAGCCCTTTCCCACTTCGATTTGCGGCGACTGACGCAACAACGGATCTCGGTCATCCGACGATCGGCCACCGTGCGTTGTGGGGATCTCCAGAGGTCCTGCAATCCCCTGCTGGAGGAGTGCCTGTACGATATCTCCACGGATCCCTGCGAGCAGAGCAATCTGGCCTACTCCGAAAGGCACTCCGACGTTTTGGCCGCCTTGCGAAGACGTCTGCGCGAACTGAGAGCAAGTGCATCGATCCCGGGTAATCGAGCCAGCATGCCGGCGGCAAATCCCACATGGCACACCTGCGCCTGGGAGTCCTTCGAAGTGCAGAAACCAAAGATTGGTAACTAATTGTTATAAATAGGCATTCAATATCGATTTCTTACCCAAACATTTTCTAGTTCCTCTGGAGTGCGATTACCAAGGCCTTCCTTGTTAAATATCCCAAAATAGAAGGACGAAACTTGACCTTAAAATAAAGGAGCAATGCAATCATGATGCATAACTTTATCTGTAGGGCTGCAAATACATATCCTAGTTTAATAAAATATTCAGATAATAAACCTCGAAAAAACCACAGGGTGTGACATTTCCAAAGCAATAAACTCCTATTTCAAAAAATAACGGTAATAATTTTGAAAATAACAGATATGTTCACCTCTAACATTACTGTTAAAGCGAAACAGTGCGCAAAATCTGTTAACAAAAATACCCCATCTGGCAGCCCTCTTTATCTGGAATGTGGAATGTTAGGAAATAACATTTTTTGAATATTTAAATTAAAGTGTTTTGAACATAGTGTTTGAAATCCATTGATTCCTACCCACAAAATGATTACGATAAATAATAATTATGCCTACAATAAGCGTAATTTCCGCGCTGGAAATGCACATCGAACAGCTGACGAAGCATACACATACACAAACACATTGGAAAAAGGGGGTTGACAAAACCGGCTGACAGGATATAAATTAGAAAAACCAAACTTATAGCTAAATCTGCGAAGGACTCGTCATGGAGGAACGTGCGGTGCTGGCCAACATTGCGTCCATTATCACAAAGGATCTGCTAATTGACCAGCCGCCAGAGGACATCATTTCCGGCACTTATCCCCTGTTGTCCTTCGGCGAGGACGACGATGAGGCCGAGATCTTCGCCCTGATGCAGCGGAAACGGGCAATGGTCGCCAGCCGAAAGCGCAGGATGCTGCAGGAGCCGGAGGACCAGAAGCAGGACCTCAAGCAGCCCAAGCTGGAGTGGCTCCACTCCGAACTCAACCTCCTGCACCGCTACACGGATGCCCAGTTCGAGTCCTACCTCCACATGCGCAAGCTCACTTTCCTGGTGAGTTTGGGATGGGGTTTCTTAGGTGGTATCTATAAAGATGCGGGAATTTGGTATCCTGATGCTGAACTCCATTCCATTTTGATTACAATTATTGGAACATTTTGCTTGAATGTTTGAAAGTAAGCAATAAGGATTATCATTAAATTGAATTTTTCATTATAAGATCATATTTTTTACTATCTATAACAGCGGTCGGCAGCGTCCTATTAAGTGAGCATAGGAAATTGTTCTGCTCGAGCGCTGCCTCCACGTATACTGTAGAACAGCGGTCTGCGCACACACACTGTTAAGCCGCCCCGTACAATTTACTCACACAAATATAAAACAAAATGTAATTGTATGAGTGTGCCGACCGCTGATCTATAAAGTTATGTTAGTTATGTTAGCTGTTTCTAGTGGGAATCTAGTAGCCTTGTTTTGAAATTCTTTTAGGGATCAGTCACAAAAAAGTTACCAAGTAAAGGCTAAGAATGATCATTTAAGTAATTTTTTCACTATTATATAACATTTTTTACAATATATATTTTTAAAAACAATATTAAAAATTTGAATTTTAAGGGCAAACATTTATACTGTTGTACCAATATCAAAAATCACATTTATGTTACAATACTTTATCTGATATCCTCTCCCCTGAGGTAACTTTAAGTTCTTTACCGTGTAATATTTACAATTACCTAAATTGTAACATACAAATATATTATTAAAATAAATAATCATATTTTCAGAAAATCCAGCAAACCCTGGAGGAAATCCTTAGCGGAATCCCTTTGCCCGGCTATCCCACTCCGCCGGCGCAGACCATGTTGTCCCTGGCCCTGTGGAAGCTCGCCACCGACGAGCACTTCGAGGAGATCGCCCGGAAGTTCGGGCTGCCCTGGGCCCTCTGCCAGCAGGTGGTGCGGGGCTTCTGGCACTGCATCTCCGACAACTACGAGAGCTTCATCAAGTGGCCCAACTCGCTGGCGGCCCAGCGGAGCACCCTGCAGGGCTACCAGGGGCTGGAGGAGCTGCGCTGCTTCCGGGAGCTGTTCGGCATCATAACGCTGCGGCGGCTGGACGTCTTCCTGGAGTCGGAGCACGCCGAGGTGCCGGTGGTGCTGCAGTTGATCTGCAATGCGGAGCGCAAGATCGTCGACTGCTACGTGGAGCTGGCGCAGGAATACAGCTTCGAGGACTCGCCCATCGGCCAGACGCTGGCTCTGAATCCCAGGACCATGCCGGCGGGCAGCTATCTCATCGGCAGCGAGGTGTTCCCGCTGAAATCCTACCTGATGCGGCCCATCGAGGCCGAGTGCTTCCGCAAGGACGCGGTGTTCAACGAGCTGCTGCGACCCGCCTTCCAACTGGCCGAGAAGGTCCTGGATACCTTGGCCCGGCGCTTCAATACCCTGTACGCCCTGGAGGCGCGCGACCTGAACGAGGTGCGGCTCATCGTGGAGAGCATTTGTGCGATGCACAACCTGTGCGAGGAGTTCCAGGACGAGGGACTGGAGGACACCGGGCAGGGCTCCTTCAGCTGGGGCGGGCTGGCCGAGGGGGTGAGGGGCAGCGAGAAGGACTCCAAGGGACTGCAGCGGAGATTCGAGCTCCTCGACGAACTGGTGGCCATCGAGCCGGGCGAATAAATAATCCTAACACTTGGAACTTGTTCTGTTTTTTATGCGAGGTTTTCCGTCGTATTTTTGGAAATTAAGGATTAAGCTTTCAAGTCTTTAAGTTTAATACTCTTGATTTTGTAGATAAAGTCGTTTTCTTATATATATTTAATATTTGTTTATTAAAATAATAAAAACTTCACGTTTTTTAAGTAGATTTTGAGTTGATTAGGAATAAGATTTTGCGAAAAAAATGTAGGTTATTACATCACAAATTTTAATAATGGCTTAATATTATTATTTATGTTTATAAAATTAGGGATTAAGCTTAATATCTTAAGTCTAATACTCTTGATTTTATGGATATGGATATTTTTATTTAATATTTGTTTATTTTTAATAGATTTTAAGTTGATTAAAAATAAGTATTTGAATAAGATTTAGGTTATTACTTCACAAATTTTAATAATGGCTATATATTATTATTTATGTTTATTATTTTAAAAATATTTAAAGTTTAAAATATAAGTTTGGTTACCAAGGGGTTAATTCTCTGTTCACCTTAACAGCGCTCTGTTAACTAAATTTTCCACTGATCTGGTAGGACTCTGCATAAATCAAAACAAATACAAACATCTGTTCAGCCTAACAGCACTCTGTTAACTATAATTTTGGCCGATCTGGCAGCACCACTTGCGCATCAAAACAAATGCACGTGCGTTTATTTGTGGAAAATGGACGAGCACGATATTTTCAAACTGATTACGGCGGGCGTTCGCTTCACCAAGAGGCCCAAGGTAAGTGGATGTCAAAGAGAGTAATGCTCACAGCTCAACTAGCAATCATTGCAGAAGGAGGCACCCGCAAAAGAGCAGCCACAACCTGCGGTTTCCAAGAAAGAAGAGCCGGTGAAGAGCGAAACTTCAGATGAGGATGATGAAGAAAGCACGGAATTCCGCCTTTTGGCAGGAGGAACAGGCAGCCTGCCCAAGCGCAAGAAGTACAAGGAGGGCAAGGCGCCCTCCCCTAAGGAATTGGAGCTCCAAAAGGCCGCCGATGAGGCAAACGAGACGAGGAAACAGAACGGCATCAGTGTGCTGGGCAAGAAGGTCCCGCCACCGGTTTCCAGTTTCGAGGATCTAACCAAAAACTTCAAGCTGCTGCCGCGCCTGCAACAGAACCTGCTGGCCCGCCACTTCGACCGGCCCACGCCCATCCAGATGCAGGCGCTGCCCGTGCTCCTCCAGCGGCGCGCTTTGATGGCCTGTGCGCCCACGGGATCCGGCAAAACGCTGGCCTTTCTCACGCCCCTCATCGATGGTTTACGGTCGCACAAGACCAGCGGCCTTAGGGCCTTGATTCTGGCGCCCACCCGCGAGTTGGCCCAGCAGATCTACCGCGAGTGCGCGGAACTCACGCGGGAAACTGGACTGCGCACCCACTTCATCAGCAAGGTGAGCGAGGCGAAGCAGAAGCACGGAGCGGAGTGCAAGCAGCGCTACGACATCCTCGTTTCCACACCGAATAGGGTAAGATTCCTGCTGCAACAGGAGCCACCGCTACTGGACCTCTCGCTCGTCGAATGGTTCGTGCTGGACGAGGCCGATCGACTGATGGAGGAGGGTCAGAACAACTTCAAGGAGCAGCTGGACGACATCTACGCCGCCTGCTCGCTGCCCAGCAAGTGCGTGGCCTTCTTCAGTGCCACCTACACGGTGCCGGTGGCCAAGTGGGCGCTGCGGCACCTCAAGAACCTGGTGCGCATCACCGTGGGCGTGCAGAACAGCGCCACGGAGACGGTGCAGCAGGAGCTGCTGTTCGTGGGCTCCGAAGGCGGCAAGCTGGTGGCCATGCGCGACCTGGTGCGCCAGGGCCTCCAGCCGCCGGTGCTCGTCTTTGTGCAGAGCAAGGAGCGCGCCAAGCAGCTGTTCGAGGAGCTGCTCTACGACGGCATCAACGTGGACGTCATCCATGCCGAGCGCAGCCAGCATCAGCGGGACAACTGCGTGCGCGCCTTTCGCGAGGGCAGCATCTGGGTGCTCATCTGCACGGAGCTCATGGGCCGCGGCATTGACTTCAAGGGCGTCAATCTGGTGATCAACTACGACTTTCCGCCCACCACCATTTCGTACATTCATCGGATAGGCAGGACGGGGCGAGCAGGACGTCCAGGTCGAGCCATTACCTTTTTTACACAGGAGGACACGGCCAATTTGAGGAGGTAAATTCGGGCTGACTGAAAGAATATATGATTCAATTTAACCCACTATCTTTACCCTTAGTATTGCCCTCATAATTAAAAACTCTGGCGGTTCTGTCCCTGAGTACATGCTGCAAATGAAAAAGGTCCGCAAGTCGGAGGCCAAAATGCGGGCCAAGAAACCTTTGGAACGCGAGGATATATCGACTAAAATACGACCGGAGGCGAAAAGCGAGGAGACTCACAAGGCAGGCAAACTGAAGAAAGTTGAAAAGACGGAAAAGGTGATGAAAAAGCGGCAGGGCGGGGAAAATGATTCAAAGCCAAAGCAGAAAAAGTTGGACAAAATCAAAGGCGACCTCAAAACGGCGGAAAAGAGAAAGGGAAAAGCGTCAAAAATAAAAAAGAAGAAGTAAATTTTAGACAAATTATTAAAATAAAGTATTCTTAAAAGAAACAAAAAGAAAAAATAAACAATATTATTTTGAATTTGAATAACCGCTTCCATTAACAATATAAATTAGAGATGACCCAAAAAGCATTCGATAACTTTTAAGCGGTGTGTGACACGGCTAAGCTAGCGGTGACACAAACCTTTTAATGTGACTGTATTTCCAATAGTTTAAAGGGTAAACATGGTATTAATGGCACATCTAATCACTGCCTCACCGATCAAAACAACAACATCTCCGACACGTCAGAATAGAATACTCTTGAGAATATTTGTTTTTCGAGCAGAGCAGATATTTGCACAGCCGTCGTTGGCCTGCATTGGACAAAACTGGGAAGTACACGCCAGAAGCAGACACTTGGAGCCATGGCGCGGAACGTGGCCCTGCTGGGATTGGCCCTGATTGCGATTTCCTCGGTGGTCGCCCTGCCCGTCACGCAGACCAAGAAGGATCCCAAGGAGGCGGAGTCCTCCACCCCGGCCACCGCCGACGTGGAGACGGCCCTGGAGTACGAGCGCTATCTGCGGGAGGTGGTCGAGGCCCTCGAGGCGGATCCCGAGTTCCGCAAGAAGCTGGACAAGGCGCCCGAGGCCGACATCCGGGTGAGTAAGACGGGGAATTCCGGGAACATCGTCGTCCACGCTTGTGATTCGTCATTGCCAAGTATCTTCTGTTTCTACAGTAGTTCTCCCTATGTGGAAGCCTTTTTTAATCAATAAAAGCTATTTAATTGGTAGTAATAGGTTATATGTATCAGGACATTTGCCATACATTTTGAAGTAATAGGAGTCTTTAGTATACACTTATCATTTTTATTCTAATTTTATTTCAAATTTTGAAATATAGTAAACGTTTTTTTCAAAAGTTTCTCAAAAAAGAATTCGAAATGTATTCTGAGAAATTCACAAAAATATTTTCTTTTTAAACCCGTAACAATCGTAAAAAAATCTTTATAAATCTTGAAACTTTTACAATCGTCATAAAATATGATGATGAAGTTGTAAATCACCCCCATCGGGCTTCTATATACAATAGCTTTCATAAGAATGATCGGAAAAGCTGCAAAAATTACGCTCTTTTTAAAAACATTTCGCAGATTCCTTAATCAATGCTAATTTTTTAAATATTTGTCTTTACTTTGTTTAAATATATAGACAATTTTTGTATATACTTGAACATACTATTTTAGTCACATTAGTATAATCTGCTAGGGTATTAATGCTTCGGTTGCCGAAAGCTAGCTTCTGTTGTCGTTAAACATTATATTTTCGCCGTAAAAATGGAGATAAATAAAACCTGACAAAAATGTAATATGGCATTAGGAGTAGCATGACCTTGTGAGTTCCTCTTTCTAATCCCTGGCTTATTGTTCCCATACGCAGAGCGGCAAGATCGCCCAGGAGCTGGACTATGTGAACCACCATGTGCGCACCAAGCTGGACGAGATCAAGCGGCGCGAGGTGGAGCGCCTGCGCGAACTGGCCAACCAGGCGTACGAGCTGTCCAACGACATTGACCGGAAGCACATCAAGGTGTCCCAGCACCTGGACCACGACAACGAGCACACCTTCGAGATCGAGGACCTGCGCAAGCTGATCCAGAAGACCTCCGACGACCTGGCCGAGGCGGATCGCAAGCGGCGCGGCGAGTTCAAGGAGTACGAAATGCAGAAGGAGTTCGAGCGGGAGGCGCAGAAGAAGGAGATGGACGAGGAGTCGCGCAAGAAGTTCGAGGCGGAGGTCAAGGAGAAGGAGAAGAAGCACCAGGACCACGAGAAGCTGCACCACCCGGGCAACAAGGCCCAGCTGGAGGATGTGTGGGAGAAGCAGGACCACATGGACAAGAACGACTTTGACCCGAAGACCTTCTTCTCGATCCACGATGTCGACAGCAACGGCTACTGGGACGAGGCGGAGGTCAAGGCCCTGTTCGTCAAGGAGCTGGACAAGGTCTATCAAAGCGATCTGCCCGAGGACGACATGAGGGAGCGGGCCGAGGAGATGGAGCGCATGCGCGAGCACTACTTCCAGGAGACCGACTCGAACCACGACGGCCTGATCAGCATCCAGGAGTTCATGGTGCAGACCAACAAGGAGGAGTTCCAGAAGGACCCCGAGTGGGAGACGATCGACCGACAGCCGCAGTACTCACACGAGGAGTACTTGGAGTACGAGCGCCGGCGCCAGGAGGAGGTGCAGCGCCTGATCGCCCAAGGTCAACTGCCCCCGCATCCGAACATGCCGCAGGGATACTACGCCGCTCCACCACCGGGCGGCGTGGCCTACCAGCAGGCGCCACCGGCGGGCGGACAACTGCACTACCAGCAACCCGACCAGGTGCACGCCCAGCAGCAGCAGCAATACGCGCAGCAGCAACAGCAGTACGCTCAACAGTACCAGCAGCAGCAGTACGGACAGCAGCCAGTGCAGCTGCAGCCCAACCAGGTGTATCAGCACGTCGGACAGGTCCCGCAGCAACAACAGCCAGTCTACCAGCAGCAGCAACAACAGCCTGTCTATCAGCAGCAGCAACAGCAGCCCGTCTACCAGCAGCAACAACCTGTGCAACAGCAGCAGCAGCAACAACAACCTGTACAACAGCAACAGCAACCCGTACTGCAGCAACAGCAACAACAGCCTGTGCAACAGCAGCAGCAGCAAACCGCTCAACAGCAGCCCATTCCACAGCAGCAAGTCCACAATCAGAGCCCTCCGCCCGCTCAAAATCAACAGGTGCCGGTGCAGCAGCAACAAAAACAACACCAGGAAACGGCAAATCAGGCAAATCAGCAACATTAAACATTCCCTTGCTGAAGCATTTCTTTTAGGCCACTTAAGCAAAGCATTACAAACTTTTGGTAACGAGAACACAATGTGATTGGACTGAAATAGCTCACTAAAATCAATATATCTCACATACATCTCATGGTTATGTAGAAAATTTACAAAGAAACAACTGTTTGTCAACGGTTACCGCATTCTCTTTTTAAATTTGATACTTCTTTCTTTTTGTACTCTTTTCTCTCTCATCCCCTAGCTCTGCATTTGCGCGATGTATTTTTTAAACGAATTTTTTGTACATATGAGTTGATGCCTAAACATCAGGAACATAATAAATGCAGTGAAACGATGGGTGTTTTGTTTTTATTCCAATCCAATCGAAATCTAACAAAAACAAGAAAGGAAGCTAGCTTCGGCAAGCCGAAGCTTATATTGCCTTGCAGATCATTCTATTAATTTACAAATCGCAAAAATGTTAAATTTCTTATTATTTCACATTAATTTTTCGATCGTTTCTATCACAGCTATATGATATAGTAGTTCGATCTTTTAAAAATTAAAATCAAAATTCGGAAATATTTCAAAATAGTCATATCCCAGAGTAGAAGGAACTGTAATAAAAACCAACAAAGATATAATTTTTTTCCCATTAATTTCCATTTAATTTTTCGACCGTTCCTATGGCAGCTATATGATATAGTGATCCGATTTAAAAAACAAAAAAACCGAAAATCAGAAATATATAAAAAAAAATGTTCCCAAGACTAGAAGGTAAAATTTCAAAAAACACTGGAGCTAGAATTTTTTTACGTTTTTTTTTTTGATCCTTCCTATGGGAGCTATAAGATATAGTTGTCCGATCCGTTTGGTTCCGACATATATACTACCTGCAATAGAAATACGAATTTTACGAAAGTTTCATCCCGATAGCTTTAAAACTGAGAGACTAGTTTGCGTAGAAACGGACGGACAGACGGACGGACAGACGGACATGGCTAGATCGACTCGTCTAGTGATGCTGATCAAGAATATATATACTTTATGGGGTCGGAAACGTCTCCTTCAATGCGTTGCAAACTTCTGACTGAAATCATAATACCCTCTGCAAGGGTATAACAAGAAAGGAAATTAACTTCGGCCAGCCAAAGTTTATATACCCTTGCAGGTAAAATATATGCCAGGGATTTTTATACCCTTGCAGAGGGTATTATGATTTCAGTCGGAAGTTTGCAACGCAGTGAAGGAGACGTTTCCGACCCCATAAAGTATATATATTCTTGATCAGCATCACAAGACGAGTCGATCTAGCCATGTCCGTCTGTCCGTCTGTCTGTTTCTACGCAAACTAGTCTCTCAGTTTTTGAGCTATCGGGACGAAATTTTCGCAAAAGTCTTCTTTCTATTGCAGGTAGTATATATGTCGGAGCCGACCGGATCGGACAACTATATCTTATAGCTCCCATAGGAAGGATCGGAAGAAAAAAACTTTAAAAAATTCTAGCTTCGGTGTTTTCTGAAATATTACCTTCTACTTTTGGGGATGTTATTTTCTAAATATTTCTGAATTTCGAATTAATTATTTAAAAAATCTGACTACTATAACATATAGCTGCCATATCGATCGGAAAATTAATGGAAAAGTAATAGGAAATAAATCCTAGCTTCTTTGGTTTTTATTGTATTATCTTCTACTCTAGGATATAACTCTTTTTAAATATTTCCGAATTTCAATTTTAATTTGATCAAAATCGGACGACTATATCATATAGCTGCCATAGGAACGATCGGAAAATTAATGAGAAATATTAGAAAATTGAACATTTTTGCGCTTTGTTAATTAATAGGAATGATCTGCAAGGGTATATAAGCTTCGGCTGGCCGAAGCTAGCTTCCTTTCTTGTTTTGAAGTGTTTTTAAGATACGTTTATATTTTACAGCCGAATTTATGTACATAAACCGGACGCTTTATAAGGTAAGACTAACTATACAATTTTTGCGGTAGAGGCAAATTTCGAGAAAAACGCGTTTAAAGATTCAAGTTCTCTTTTGGTCATTTAAAAAAAATCCTTTTAACCACTTATAATATCTAAGTTAAAAGTGCAATTTAGACAAAAAAGTTTTGATTTTTGGAAACCGAGACATAAACACTTTAAAAAGCAAAACAAAAATGGAATGAGTAAGGAATGAAATTGTTCATAAAAAAATACTGTCCGATCCAAAAAAAACAATGTTTTTTTCTTTGAAAAATTATATTTCTGTCGTATTATATTTCAACTGTAAAGAGGCATGTTAAACTTTATTTGTCATAATTTCTTCACAATTGTATATTCATAATTGAAAATGTTTCCCAAATTTAAATATCCAACCAATGTTCTTCACGAATTTCAGCACGTCTGACCCACATATAAAAAATCACTAGCGCAAATGGAAAAAATCCAAGAACTGTTGAAGGATAAGAATAAGAACATTATTGAATGTGTAATAATTTTCGACACAAAAGTTGATATCAGAACTTTTGTATGATAAGATAAGATCATCACTAATTTTTTACCTCGTCAAGAGGTGTTTTTGTTTGCTATCAGTAGTTTTTATACACGCTAGTCGTAGACTAGACATGTCCGTCTGTCTGTATCAAAACAAATTTGTTGTTGCAAATTTGTTGAATACCCAAATTTGTTTCATTTTTTACCCGAGTGATCTATCACTTATACAAAACTTTCCACTAATAAAAAAATCTTTTAAAATGTGGGCGCTAACATAATTTACGTTGTGGGCTTTAGATTGGGCATGGAAATCGGTTTAAACAAATTTTCGGTACGTAGAATTACTAAAATCAACATGAGAAATCTGAACAGTCAAGCTTTTGTAGTTTTAAAGATCTAAGCATTCTTACGGATAGATAGACAAACAGGCGGACATGGCTGGATCGATCAAAATATATATACTTTATATGGTTTTAAACACACCTTATATTCATTATTACATTAAAAAATACCTTTTATAATAAATATATCAACTCACGAATAAAGGTACCAATAATCTCTATAGGCTGACGGCCAAAAGTCCATTGAGGAGGGTCGTGCCAGTCCAAGACATTTAAATTGCGATCGTTGAGAATCAGATAAGTATACACTAAATGAGATACTGGTAAACAAAGTGCATTAATTACACATAGTCGTTTCCATTTCTGAAATTTTAACACTTAATTAAAAGTAAAATGAGTTTTTTTTTCAAAAAATTTACATCAATCATCCACACTGCAGCAATTAGTATAAGTCTATTGATCGGACCCACCAAAATAATGTTATACGATATAAAATATTTCAAAAAAAATTTTTTGCCTGAAAATAAATTGTCTTTTATAATAACAATATTTATCTATTAGTTTTAATTACCTTGCGGGGCTATTAAATACATATATTCAAAAGCCGGAGAAACTATCAGAGCAAGTGAAATCGTAATTTTAATAAATTTTAAATAGGTTGGCTTATCAATAAAGCACATTTTAGGGAACTTGTATTGTATCGACTTCTGTGTAAATTTGTTGTAAATTCCAGTGTGACAGGTAAATCAATAGGTACACATACTGGTAAAAAAAACATGGAAGCCCTGAAGTTTAGTCTTCAAAACAAGAGGGGACGCTATAGTCGGGTGTCCCGACTATGAGATACCTGTTACTCAGCTAAAGGGAGTGCGAGGGAGATGGAGATATACAACTTTGATCGGGCAAAACTTTTTAGCGAATGCTCCGATTTGAAAAATTTCTTCTACATTTCGATATGTATAAATAAACGCAATATTTATACTTCTCCGAAATCTTTAAAGGTGTGGGCACTAGACACGTTAAACTTTATTTGTCAAAATTTCTTCACAATTGTACATTTATCATCGAAAATGTTCTCTAAATTTAAATATCCAACCAATCCTCTTCACGACGGTCAGTACGTCTGACCCACATATAATAAATCACGAGCGCAAATGGAATAAATCCAAGAACTGTTGAAGGATAAGTACGAGAAAATTTTAGAAAGTGTATTTATGCTATCGAAGGTGTACAAATTGTTCGTCACAGAAGTTGATATCATAACTTTTGAATGCTGAAGGTGCGATCGTCACTCATTTTTTACCTCGTCAAGAGGTGTTTTTGTTTGATATCAATAGTTTTTATACCCGGTACTCGTAGAATAAAAGTGTATATTGCATTCGTTCAAAAGTATGTAACAGGTAAAGTTAAGCGTATAAATTCTTGATAAGGATCACTAGCCGAGTCTGTCTAGCCATGTCCGTATGTCTGTATCAAAACAAATTTGTTGTTGAAAATATTTTGAATACCCAAATTTGTTTTAGATGCATTTATGCATTTATACTTCTCCAAATTCTTTAAAAATGTGGGCACCAGACAAATTTTAAAATCGTTTGTGGGCCATTGTGGGCGTTAGAGGGGGCGGGGCGCTGTTACATACTTTTGCAAAACTATACGTTCTATGGTCTAAAACACTATCCTTTGCCTGTTAGTAGTTAGTGTTCAAGTAGTTATTGAAGAAGTTTATCTTCTTGTTTTGTAATGTTAAAGATGCGTATTAATCCTGTTTCGTATTCATTACGACATTCAAAAATTATTTTTCTAATAATTATATCAACTCACTAATGAAGGTAATAATCATCTCTATAGCCCGACGGCCAAACGAATTATTGCTTTCAAAAGTCCATTTAGGAGGGTCGTGCCAATCCAAAACATTTATATTGGGATTGTTGATAATCAGATAGGTATACACTAAATGAGATACTGGCAAACATAGTGCATTAATTACACATAGTCGTTTCCATTGCTGAAATTTTAAAACTTTTAATTAGTAGTAAAATATGTTTTCAAAAAACTTACATCAATAATCCACACTGCAGCAATTAATATAAGTCTATTGATCGGGCCCACAAGGATAATGTTATACGATATGAAATATTTCAAATAAATTTTTTTACCTGAAAATAAGTCTGCCTTCATAATAACAATATTTATCTATTTATTTTAACTACCTTGCGGGGTTATTAAATACCAATATTCAAAAAACGCAGAAGCGATTAGAGCAAGTGAAAACAGACTTTTAATAATTTTTAAATGGGTAGGCTTATCAATAAAGCACATTTTAAGGAACTTATATTAAATCGACTTCTGTGTAATGCTGATGTAAGTTCCAGTGTGACAGTAAAATCAATAGCTTCACTGGTAAAAAAAAACATGCAAGCCCTAAAATCAAGTAAATCGCCCTATTTATACCCGTTACTCATGAAAAAGTATGTAACAGATAGAAGGAAGCGGTACCGACACTATAAAGTCTGTCCGTCTGTCTGTTCGTATGAACGAGAGATCTCGGAAGCTACAAATGCTAGAAGGTTGGAATTAATCACACATATTCTTGGGTTTTCTACGCAGCGCAAGTTTATTTTATCCGAGCGCCAACGCCCAGCTCTACGCCTGCTTTCCACATCTTTACGAATTTTGTAAAAGTGTAAATGCCATTTTATTATTTTTTTTAGTTATCGTTGTTGTTGTGTAAAAATCATATAACATTGTGGTTTTGTATTGATTTTAGATAGGACGTCAGGTTAATAGATTTAAAATAAGACTCAACCAATTATTTTAATTTTTGTTCTCATGACTTTTTAATGGGTAGTCCGATTTAAATTCTTCTACATTTCAATAGGTATTAATAAGCGCAACAAAATAACATTTGAACTTTTACAAAACCTGTAAATATGTGTTATTTACTTTAATTTTAAATATTAAGGAAACCAAAATTATGTATCCAGTTTTCCTTTGAATAAAGGACATCGATACGTCTGTCAGTGTCCTCATGTGAATGTTATGTTGTTTTTACAGTTATTATGTATCAAATAAAAACACCTCTTAACGAGGTAAAAAACTAGTGACGATCGCGCCTTCAACATACAAAAGTTCTGATATCAACATTTGTGACGAAAAATTATTACACTCGTCATTAAATAGACTTTCTAATCTTTTCTCATTCGGCCCGCCCTAGCAAACTATTCCAGCCTTTTTCCCTTTACAGGCATTTTCTATTGCAGCGTGCCGAATGAGAAAATATTAGAAAGTCTATTTAATGACGAGTGTAATAATTTTTCGTCACAAATGTTGATATCAGAACTTTTGTATGTTGAAGGCGCGATCGTCACTAGTTTTTTACCTCGTTAAGAGGTGTTTTTATTTGATATCAGAAGTTTTTGTTTGTTTACATTTGCTCTCATAGGAGCTAATATATACATTTAAATTTAAATTGGTAAGCCATTGTATTAAACGAATTAAGTTAAAAAGGCGATGAAGTATATCAAAATACCTTTTAAACGAGTTATAGCACATGGGTGTACCTTTAGTAGTGTAGAACTTACAAACTAACGAAATTGAGCTATTTTTAGCTTTTTTCCCGCTAAAGTAGCGGCTTTTTCCAAAAGTCGTAGAACAAAAGATTTCTATATGGAACTCTTAAGTGCAAATTTACTGATTCCATGACCCTAAAATACAGTTCGTATACCCTCACACAAAATTCAATACTAAGGGAGTGTTAGTTGCTCGAGCTGGCAAAAGTGGCTATTTTCGTATAAAAATAACTTTTAAACGTGACTTTTTACAGTAATGTGTTATATACCAAAATTTAAGGAATCTCAAGGGCTATATATTTTAAAGTTGTAAGGAAAATCTTTAGAGCCGTTTTTGAGAAAATTAAAAAAAAGCTAAAAAAAAAGTTTAAACAAATTTTCTTTTGTTCATATCTTTTTAACTATTACATTTACACAAATTGCATATAGAAGGCGTTTATAGCATTTAAAAATACCTTTCAAACGAGATGCAGCACAAGTCTGTAGCTTTAGTAGTATAGAAGTTACGGCTTTCCGAATTTTAGCTATTTATAGCTGTTTTCCCGCTAAACTAGCGGGTTTTTCCAAAAGTGGTAGAACAAAAGTTTTTTATATCGATATGATGAACGTCATATCAAATTTTTAGAACTTAAAAAACATATTTTGGACAAGTGGACAAGTGGACAAGTGGACAAACAGAATTAAATTTTCATTTTGGGAAGAAGAAGAAAATCTTATTTTGGCTATAACTTTTGAACGGAGCGTCGGATTTTGACAAATGACCCCTCATTCGACGGGTATTTTCAAAAGCAATACAACTAAAACATTGCGAGGGGGCATTTATCCCCACCGGCCCCAACAGCTCCAAATTTCGAAATTTTCACTTTTTCACTTTCACCGCTCTCTCTCCCAAGCCAATTGATTTTCTTAGAGTCTTGGTATGCAATCCTGTTAGTTTTCGCAATACCTTTCGATAGGTGTATCATTCATTATGATCGGACCATCACAGCTACAGGCTGATATCAACTTTTGTGACGAAAAATAATTTTAGATGCGACTAAATAAGTACGCTACCTAAAATTTATTCATTCGGCACGCTAAAACAGAAAAACATTCGTGTAGATATTAAATATTTGCTAAAGCGGGCCGAACGAGTAAATTTTAGGTAGCGTACTTATTTAGTCGCATCTAAAATCATTTTTCGTCACAAAAGTTGATATCAGAACTTTTGTACGTTGAATGTGCGATCGTCACTAGTTTTTTACCTCGTTAAGAGGTGTTTTTATTTGATTAACTTGTGGGGCTATCAAAAATGTACATTCTGGTACCACGAATGTTATCAGAGCCAGTGAAAAGAGAGTTTTAATGCACTTCAAAGCGGTTTTAATGGATATAAATGCACTGCACATTTTAAGGAATTTATGTCGAGTCAAATTATGGGTTAAATTTTTCTTATGACAGTAAAATCTATAGGTAGATTCAATTAACATTTTAATAGCCCACAAATCAAATAAAATATAATTTACACTGCAAAAGCACGTTCAAGCCACTAGACTCTGAACAAGAAGTCCCAATTTCCCAAATATCACCGATATCAGACCGACAGACAGGCATGGCTAGATCAACTCGGCTAGTGATCCTGAACTTTAATATATGTACTTTATAGGGTCGACTATGGCGTTCTCTCTTGTTTGGTTTTTGTCTAATCGGAGCCAACCTATGTTCAGTTGGAAAAATGTCAAAACTATACACATTTGTTTTAATTATAATCACTCTTAAAATTTCTAGCACTTTTGCGTCCCCAACTAATGACAACACATTGTGTGGAGACTGCACAAAGCAAAGCAAGGATCGGTGCATTATAGAATCTGAAACTGGACATAGTATTCTAAAATATGAAGACAAAGAGAAGATGGTTCGAAAACAAAAATACGATTCAAGTGCGCCACCTCTGTTTACAGACAACTTGAGCGAATGCATTCCAAAGAATTATACAATTGATAGTAAGAGCACATTATCAGTTATGGCATTATCGAACCATTTTATTTTTACAGTTGAAGACGGGTTTTTTGAATACATCTGCGTTTGGTCACCTGAACTTGGTTGCCAAATGTTAGTACCGTTTACTAGGACGGATGAGAATTGTTCAAGATGCATCTCTAATTATGAAAATGATGATATAAAGACTTGTCCGTGCAAACGGGAATCAGATTCAAAAAAGTCAGGGTCAAGGACGCTCTATTGCAGCTGCTTCCTGATCGCAATAGTTATTTATTGTTTGAAAATTATTAATGGATGACAATAAATTTTTTCGTTTACATATGGGCAATTCTCTGACGATGTCAATCAAGCCAAAAAGGTTTAAACTTGGTTTTGCACTGATCTTTGATTCTAGTAAGATAGATCCTCAACTAAGGTAAGCTGTTTGAGTATCCTTGAATAACACAGGTCAACAAAATGGACTTAATTAAAAGCATATCTGCATACTTAGCTTTCGCGTTTAACGGGTGGTATTTGGGCAATCGCGGCTTGAAAAATAGCAACATTTATCTTGAAAACGAATAGTGGCCCATAGTCAGCCCTGGAGTGTCCTGGAAAATTATTTTTTTCACGTGTATATGCACCACTAATCGCCAAGCCAAAAACTTTAAGGTAATTTTTTTTTCAGGCAAATCCTGAAACACGTGTTTGCTTATTTTCCGAATAGCAAAAACAGCAACACAGTTAATTGCCAGTGCCACATTTAAAAAGGACCTCGTAATGTGTGAAGATTGCAATGAAGATAATAGGGATTTGTGCATTATTGAAAATGATTCGGGATAATCTTTAAGACCGCCAGTAACCGCTGATTGGACGTGTGCATTCCCAGCGATATGAAGCGGCAGCAATAATATTTTTTGACTTACACATCATTCTTTACAGAAAAAGATGGATCTTTCCAATTTATATATCACCAAAGTTTGGTTGTCAAATTTTGTATCCTACACACAAAAAAAACTTGGTAAAATCAACTGTAATAATTGTCAAACAGGCCCCAACCAGCAAAATTGTTAATTCTACTAAGTAAATAGTTATTCCACAAGAACAAAATACACACAATTAGCAAAGACACAAACCCAAAGCAAAAACAAAATACACGTAACTACTTAAATAGTTACGTTACTATCTTTGTTGGTCAATTTTACCGAGCTAATTTTTTTGTGTGTAAGACTGAAACCGGTTATGCGCTTATTCCACTACATTGTTCGGTTCATTAGAGAAATTTAACGTACAGCCCAAAACATTTTAAAAACCTGTTCAAAATGTCTGATTGCATGGCAAGACACACTATTAATTTTACAGTTTTTAAGCTTAATGATTTGACCAGTTAAAGTTATTTGAATTATAAAGTTTAAATTTAACATTTAAATTCTAATTGATCATGACATCTTATCCGAACAAATCCCAGTAAATGTATATATATTTGTCCCTTTCTGAATGAGCCGAACAATGTCGTGGAATAACCGCATTACGAATTATTCAAACGTACATTAAGAAAACTAGTGTTGCCTAAAGATTAGAAATTATTACCTAAGAAAATCTCTGCCCTTATATTTTAGGAACCATTTAGCAAATTAAGATTTAGGGTAATTTTTGTTTTTGAATGACTTTTAAACGCGTGTTATATACAAGAATTTGATAAATCTTAAGGACCATACAGAATACATTTTATATTAAATTTAAATTAATGTGTCTTCCCGCATGTGTTTTTTTTAAAACTCGTAGAACAAAAGTGTTATATCTCGAACTTCTCAACACAGTAAAAGACATAATAGGACCCCATATCTACGATCTGACTCTAATAAACAAACAGAGGTTACAAAACTTTAATTTTGAAAAGTCCCCCAAAATCTTCTTTTGGGTATAACTCTGAAGCGGAGTTTCGGATTTTATTCGACGCGTACTTTTACTAACAACTAAAACAACTAGGTTAATGTAATATATATCCCCATTGGCCTTAACAGTGGCTAAATAACACAATATACAATTGTTTTTTAAGTAGTCCTTGGAATAATCGTTGCACGTGATTTAATAGTATTTTCATTAGGTCTTAAAAATCTTTTTCCCTAAAATGTTAAATTTTTACATATATTCTTTTCTGATTTTTGCTTCTTACCTGACTACCAAATGTGCCGCATTCAATAAAGAACTTGTAGTATGTGGAGATTGCACTGAACTTAATAAAAATAAGTGCATTATTGGAAATGTTTCGGGATACTCTATTGACCCAGACAGTGATAAGGCTAAGTCTAGGTATGACAGACCATCGGATTTACCTCCGGTAACCGATAACTTAGATGTGTGCATTCCTAGCGGAATGAAAATTAATGGTATTGAGAACGGTACCAATAATACTTGTTGACTTATAAAACGTTTTTTTGCAGCAAGGGATGGATCTTTTGAATTTATATGTGTTTGGTCACCAAAACTTGGTTGTCAAATTGTATATCCTAGGACCAACATATATACAGCCTGTGATTTTTGCCGATCGAGCGATTATCCAGGATTGCCAAATTGTCCGTGTAAGACAACCAATGACGAAAACGACGAACAAGAAAAGACGAAATCGGGATCAGGATCAGAAACTCTACACCGGTTCTTTGAATATCATGATTGGTGCAGCGGGATTGGTACTTATGCGAACTTATGTACATTCGAGTTATAAAACACATTGACTTTAATCAACTTAAACATACACCAAGAACTTTTGGAAATCACAAGCTAATTCTTTAGTTAAACAGATGGTTTGCAATGGCCCTATTACCTATTCCGGACTGTTTAATTTTACTAAAAGTAAGTCTTCGTTTAAAAAATATAATGTAAATTCTTAAGCTAATAATTTCGGATCTAAGGTTACAAAAGTATTTCTTCAAATTCTTATTTTAAACTGACAAGAAAGAGAACTACGTTTTGCTTTCTGAAAATAGCTGCAAGTTCACCCAGAAGAATTTCAGTGTTAAATCAAATACGTTTATATTTAAACTACATACAAAAAAAAACTTGGTAAAATTAACTGTAATAATAGTCAAACATGCCCCAACCAGCAAAATTGTCAATTCTACTAAGTAAATAGTCATTTCACAACAACAAAATACACACAATTAGCAAAGACACAAACCCAAACCAAAAACAAAATACACGTAACTATTTTAATAGTTACGTAACTATCTTTGGTGGTCAATTTTACCAAGCTACCACAAAGTAAAACTTTAAGGATGGCCAAAAAAAAAGAATAAATGGAAAAAGAACACTCACATATTCACTGCTCAGACGCATACTGGAAGCCGATCGGATTTCTGGACCAAAATACGTTTTTGTATTACAACACACAAAAAAATTTGCATGGTAAAATTGACCAACAAAGATAGTTACGTAACTATTAAAAAAGTTACGTGTATTTTGTTTTGCTTTGGGAGTGTGTCTTTGCTAATTGTGTGTATTTTGTTGTTGTGGAATAACTATTTACTTAGTAGAATTGACAATTTTGGTTGGGGTTGGGGTTGGGGCCTCTTTGACAATTATTACAGTTGATTTTACCAAGTTTTTTTTTGTGCTAACACATTAACTAAAATATGCCAAAGGGAATTCGGGCGAGTAGTTTTCTTTTGCCATATTTGTGTACCCTGTGAGGGAGACGCTTCCCTTCACATAAAGCGAAATACTCTTATTAACCAATAAAAAATAGTTAACATTTATACAACATTATAATACAACATTATAATACAACATTAAAAGGGTGTAAAAAGAAGTCCTTGAAATTTCCTTCTTAGTAATATATTCATTAGATCTTAAAAATCATTCTTTCAAAAATGTCATGTAATTACATATTTTCTTTTCTGATTTTCGCTCTTTACCTGTTTACCAAATGTGCACCATTTAATAAAGACCTTGTACTGTGTGGAGACTGCACTGAAGACAGTAAGGACTGCATTATTGAAAATGAGACGGGATACTTCGCCGAGCCAAGTGATTTTTATGAACCTAGAGCTGGGAAACCTTTATACCCGCCGGTAACCGCCGACTTAGACGTGTGCATTCCTAGCGATATGAAAATTTATGGTATTAAGAGCGGCAGAGATATAACCTATTCACTTAGCAAACTCTTTTTACAGAAAAAGATGGAACTTTCAAATATATATGTACTTGGTCCCCAAAAATCGGCTGTCAAATTTTATATCCTAAGACGAATACGTTCACAGAATGTTTTATGTGCCGAGCTATAGGTATTGAAGGGGTTAAAAGTTGTCCGTGCAAGATACCCAACGGAACAATAGACAAAGATAGAAAGAAGAAGTCGGGATCAAGACAATTATACATTGAATCTCTGCATTTCATGATTGGTGCAGCTGGATTGGTGCTTGTGGGACTAAAGCTATGTGGCCTTATGTACGAGTTATAACAGATATTGCCTTTGACCGACTTTGACATTTAGCAAGACCTTTCCGAATTCACAAGCAAATGTAATAATACCACTCTTGGCTTGCACTTTTTTAACAACAAATTTTTTGTAACTTTGGGAATATAGAAAAACGATAATTCTAATTGTATTCTACATTTTGCAAACACAAAATAAAAATATTCCTCGAAGAAGTCAGTTCTGGGCAATAGAACACATAAAAAAAGACTGTGCAAAAAAAAACTATCTTCCAAACAACTTTTGAAAGTAAAAAGGGTTGATCTATAAAAAAAAAATTGACAAATAAGAGTTATTTATCAACATTTATAATAAAAATTGAGAATAAAGAACTTCGGTGTGCATTGGTTTAAAAGTTATATATAATATCAAACAAAAACACCTTTTGAGGTGTACACCAAAAAGGCTCAAATTAATATTTTTAAAAGTATTAAGGTGACACCAGAATAGGGTCAATTAAATGACATTCGGATCAAAGTTTTTTTCTACGCAATAGTGTCACATTGACACCTAAATAGGGGGATATTGATGACTATTTTTTTTGGGTGTACAATATATTAAGTTTATAATATTTCATATGAAATACTACTGAATATAGAATTTGTATTATTCAGTTTTAGGTCAATACGCTTAGAGAGTAAACACTTTTGATTTTTTTTGGGTACAGGTCATTTTTTTAACGCGTTCCAAACACAAGTCCAAAATGTTTTAGAAAACAATTTAATGAGTATTTTCCACGAAAAATATGGTACAGGACCCTAAGGAAAATCTTTTTAACGAGGAATAATATCTTGACGATCGCACCTGCAACATGCTTAAGTTGCAATCAAAACATTACTTCATTTTAGAAAAAAAATCCGTTGTTTAGAAATTAAATTAAATACACACAAAAAAATTTGCTTGGTAAAATTGATGAACAAAGATAGTTACGTAACTGTTAAAATAGTTAAGTGTATTTTGTTTTTGCTTTGGGTTTGTGTCTTTGCTTATTGTGTATTTTGTTGTTGTGAAATGACTATTTACTTGATAGAATTGACAATTTTGCTGGTTGGGGCCTGTTTGACAATTATTACAGTTGATTTTACCAAGTTTTTTGTTTTGTGTGTACAATTTGAAATATGGTGTTACTATTCAAGGTCAAAAAAAAAAACAAAACATCAAAATACATTAAAAACAAGAAAGAAAGCTTGCATCGCCGAACCGCAGTTAATATACCCTTGCGGATCGTTCATGTGATCACATTTGCTTAAAAATGGGTAGGAAATGCTAAAATTGTCTTAGTAAAGTAGTCCTTTTAATTTTAACGTCAATATAATGTTCATACTCTTAAAGATGTCGAATAATAACATATTTCGTTTTCTGATTTTCGCTGTTTTACTGTTTACCACGTGTTCCACATTAAATAAAGACCTTTTGATTTGTGGAGACTGCTCTGACTACTTTCCGAACAATTGCATTATTGAAAATGATACGGGACACTTTGTTCAGAAGGAATATCTTTTGGGACACTTTCCTATGAAAGAACATCTTTCAAGATCGAAAAGTTTGTTAACAATGGATACCCCTAAGGCAACAGACGACTGGGGCGTGTGCATTCCAAGCAATATGAAAATAGATGGTATCAAGAGCGACGGCCATAATGTTTTTTTGACTTATTTAAACTATTTTCTTTACAGCCGAAGATGAAACTTTCCGATATATATGTGTTTGGTCACCAAAAATTGGTTGTCAAATTATATATCCTAAGACCAATCCGGATGCAGGCTGCAGCTTGTGCCGGTCGAGGGAATTTACTGCAGAAAAAACCTGTATGTGTACCAAACGAAAAAAAGGGGACACAAAAAAGGAGAAATCGGGATCAAGGCAACTCTACTCAGGTTCTCTGCATTTCGTCTTTGGGGCGTACATATGTTGGGCAGCAGGAAACTTACTTATGGGAATAAGTAAATATGGCCTTAGATATGAGTTCTAAAAGACGTTGCTTTTAACCGACTGAAACATTACCAGGATCCTGCCAAATTAACAAGCATATCCAATAATTAAGCTGTTGGATTCCAATCCTTGGACTCTAGACAATTTAAATTTATTGAGTGTAAATTTTTGTTGGTTTAAAAATTTAATAAATATATTCATTTTTATATTTCTAACTAACTTTAAAAGTGATTCGAAACAAAAGGGAGGCGTAGTTTTTACAAAAACTCACAAGTTGCCCCATTATAAATTACATATAAATTGGTTGGATATTCATCGGACAGCGATTTCTTTAGATCCCTTTGAGAATCTAGCGCCCACATTAATGCAAGTCCAGTTATTTGTTGTTGCTTGTTTCTTAAAATTGGTCAATAGATTAAGCGGTATTTCTTGTTTTAAAGCTGGTTAGCGGAGTAAAGAGTGGCTGGCAATTAGGGACATATGGTCTCTTTGCGTCAAAAACATATTGTAAAAGAACGCTGTTCACAAATAAAGATTTTTAAACTTTGCAGTTACTTAAAAATTTGAAAGCTGGATATCTTCCCTTATTCTTAAGTTAGGATAACAAATAAAAGACGACCATATAGAAGACACATATCTTTTATATTTAGTTCAAAGTAAAATTTAGTTGACCACTCCTGAAGATATAACCTCAGAGCCTTATAAAACTGGGGATTTTCTTAAATTAAATATACCGCCAATACCAAAGCTGTTGGGCTGTAGGTGTAGAGGAAAAGAAGCCTGAACAACCAAAATTGAATTTCTGTCGGTCTGTGTTAAAAAGAACTATCATTTTTTTTAATTCGTTTAAATTAAACTAATTGTCAGTCAAAACATTAAAGAAAATAAAATAAAACTCTTTTTTGGCTCTAGAAGCCTAAATCGCAAGCAGACGCAGCTTTCCTAACTTTCCTCATATCAAGAGGAATGTCCAAACAGCCATATCTATTACAACAAAAATCTGATATTTATAAGGGTTACATATTCGAATTGGTTGATCAATTACCTGTCGATTGAAGTGCGTTTATTGTTATTTTAAAACAGTAAAATATATGCATAAAATTAATATTTGTGTTACTATTTAAATTTAGGTGTTACTATTCAATATATAGTATATACTCTTGCCGATCGTCTATGTGATCGTTTCCTTAGAAATTATCTAAATAAAGTAGTCCTTGTAATTTCACCGACAACATAATTTTCGTTTTCTTAAAAATGTCGAGTAAACACATTTTTCGTTTTTTGATTTTCGCTGTTTTCCTGTTTGTCACATGTGCCACATTTAATAAAGACCTTTTATTTTGTGGAGACTGTTCTCATTACATGCCGGACGGTTGCATTGTTGAAAATGACACAAATTACTATGTTCAGCCAGCTATTTTGTTAAAATCTGATAGTGGGTCACCATCAGATAGTAAACCTAAGGTCACCGAGGATTGGGACGTGTGCATTCCCAACAATATGAACATTAAAGGTATTGAGAGCAGCAGCTGTAATATATATTTTAACAATAATTTTTTTTACAGCGGAAGATGATACTTTCCAATATATATGTGTTTGGTCACCAAAAACTGGTTGTCAAATTATATATCCTAAGACTTATACGGCATTAGGCTGCAGCTCCTGCCGAACAAGGGAATTACTTGGAGATGAAACCTGTATGTGTACCAAGCAAAAAAAAGGGAACATAAAAAATGATAAATCGGGATCAAGACACGTCTACAGCGGTTCTCTGAATATCGTCATTGGTGCATACTTATGTTGTGCAGCAGGAAACTTACTTGTGGGAAGAAAGAAACTTGGCTTCAGATATGAGTTATAAAACACGTTGCTCCTCCCCAATCAACAAGCATATCCAATAATAAAACTGTTGGATTGCAATGCTTCCCAATCTGGACAATTTAAATTATTGAAAGTAAATTATTGTTATACAAATTTAATGAAAATATATAAATCGTTTACAAGCATTTTCTATTTTAATAGTAATTCTGGTCTTCATGTTAATTTGATAGAAATATCCACTTAATATCTACTTAGGATAATTTTTTGGTCATGTTCAACGATGCGTATATGCATCAAACAATAATGCCCAGGAATTGTTATATTTTTAATTTATTTATATAAAAATTAATTTAAAACATTATATTTACATTTCACAATTACTAAAACTTATGATACGGCTAAAAGACAAAACATCACTGCAAAAGCGGCTAAATGCCACGATCCAGAGATTTTGGGGAGATCACTTTAACCAATAGAAGCTCAGAAAAAATATTTAACCTAGGTAAATAGCTTTTTATAATTATTTTTAAAGCCCTTGCAGATCTTTCATACGAAGAAAATGGGGTTTGACATAAAAAGAAGTAGTAGACGTTGTAATTCTAATGTCAACATAATTTTCATTCTCAAAAAATGTCGAGTATTCACATATATCGTATTTTGAATTTCACAGCTCTCCTGTTCACAACTTGCGCCGCATTTAATAAAGACCTTGTAATGTGTGGAGACTGCACCGAGGACAATAAGGAAAATTGCATTATTGAAAGTGATCCGGGATTTTATGCTCATCCAGACATTTTTAGTCAATTTAATGGTTTGAGAGCATATGCGTTCCCTCCTGTAACCGCTGACTTAGGCGTGTGCATTCCTAGCAATCTGAAAATTGAAAATGGTACCAGGAAGGGCAGCAGCAATACTTGCGTACTTATACAACTTTTTCTTACAGCAGACGATGGAACTTTTCAATACATATGTGTTTGGTCGAGAGAACTTGGTTGTAACGTTATAGTTCCTAAGACCGACACTGAAGTAGCCTGTGCAATGTGCCGAATAAACGTTATAAAGGGGGAAGGAAATTGTCCGTGTAAGAAGCCCGACCTAATTGCAGACGAAAAGAAAGATTTGAGATCGGGATCAAGGCAATTCTACACCGGTTCTCTCAATACTATTATTGGTGCATATGTTGTGCTGCAGGTAATTTATTTAAAGGACTAAATCGGAATCGCCAGAAAATAAAATTTCAAGATGAAGTAACATCTTATATATATCACAGTGCAACAGGGAAAATATAAAACATTTTTTGTTTCAAAATCTTAAACTACTTTAACTAAATTTTGGTTCTTCTTAAAGTTTTGGTATAAAACTTGATTTTTAAGCCAACATCTCTAAAGCCCAATCGAGATAAAGAAAAATGATGTGTAACTGCTAAAAAATAAATTTGCAGCTAAAAAACACTCCCCTATTTTATTACGACATTATATGGATTGAAATAAGTATATAAACAAATACATATGTAAAACCAAAAGAAACTTGTGTTCAATTCCATGAAGCACGTGCAATGTACATATTTGCTTAACTGTGTGCTAGGCTGTATTTACAAAACAATTCAATTCAAGTTAATCTGGAAAGAAATAAACAACACTTTTAAACAAACAAGTCTGGAGTAACAGAATCGGAAAAAATAGATGTTGTAATCGTATTTATAACTTTCGGATAACAAATCGAAAAATTTTCCACGCGACGCAATAATGAAGTCTTTGCTCTACTGGTATAAATTGAGCGGTAACAGATTGAATCAGCACACATATCTTTAGGTGCCACAGCCTAAACTTCCTTCACAATGAGACTACTTCTTCCCCTCGCATTGGCAGTGATGGCCGTTTGCTGCTTGTCCTTCGGCGACTGCGCCTCATCGGACGATACGGATACTGGAACAGGGACAGGTACTGGGACAGGTACAGGGACAGGGACAGGGACAGGTACTGGTACAGGTACTACTACAACCACCACGACGACAACTGTTGCTCCGTCGTCCAGCACCACAGTCACTCCAGCCCCAGCGACCCACAAAAGGAAACATCATCGCAGACGTCGCATCCTTAGGAGAATCCGCCGAAGACGTGCAGAGGCTGAAAGAAGGCGTCGCAGGGGTTAAACTACTACAAAATCTTAACAAGTTTTCATAATGTGTATACAACTAGCATACGGCTTTTTTCTTCATCTGCTTGGAAAGTAATAAAACACATTTAAACTAAATAAATAATAGTTTTCTTTCTTCCCCCATCTTTTTGACAGATGTTCCATACGAATTTTCTGCTCTAAAATTTTTCCAGTTATTCTTTTAGTTTCCTGTTTAGTAATTTCTTTTTTGTTTAAATGAGGTTGAGAAAAAAGTAGATTTTAAAACTATTTTTTGTTTTTGCAAAACTTTATTTAAAGCTCCCTACTAAATGCTTTAATACCAACTATAAAAAATAAATACATCGGTTCTTAAATCATAGAATTCAATCATCATACTTTTAATCATAAATGCCTTATGGCAGATAAAAACAAGAAAGGAAGCTAGCTTCGGCAAGCCGAAGCTTATATACCCTTGCAGATCATTCTATAAATTTACAAATCGCAAAAATGTTAAATTTCTTATTATTTCACATTAATTTTTCGATCGTTTCTATCACAGCTATATGATATAGTAATTCGATCTTTTAAAAATTAAAATCGAATTTCGGAAATATTTCAAAATAGTCATATCACAGAGTAGAAGGGAATGTAATAAAAACCAACAAAGATATAATTTTTTTCCCATTAATTTCCATTTAATTTTTCGACCGTTCCTATGGCAGCTATATGATATAGTGATCCGATTTAAAAAACAAAAAAACCGAAATTCAGAAATATATAAAAAAAAATATTCCCAAGAGTAGAAAGTAAAATTTCAAAAAACACCGGAGCTACAATTTTTTTACGTTTTTTTTTTTTAATCCTTCCTATGGGAGCTATAAGATATATGGTTCCGACATATATACTACCTGCAATAGAAATACGACTTTTACGAAAGTTTCATCCTGATAGCTTTAAAACTGAGAGACTAGTTTGCGTAGAAACGGACGGACAGACGGACAGACGGACGGACAGACGGACAGACGGACATGGCTAGATCGACTCGTCTTGTGATGCTGATCAAGAATATATATACTTTATGGGGTCGGAAATGTCTCCTTCACTGCGTTGCAAACTTCTGACTGAAATCATAATACCCTCTGCAAGGGTATAAAAATACCATTTGGTATTTATATTATGATCTTGTTTTGCAGAAATAACAGGTGTGAAAAAGGGTTATTATTTCGAAAAAAAGAGATAGTACGGGTTACGTAACTTTCTGGGTGTCAGTTGATACCCTGTATTTTTGGGCATAGAATCGCCCGAAGAGAAAGAGGAAGGCCAGCATGTAGGCGCCTCCCGTGAAACTGATCCAGGTGCCATACTCGCAGCCCCGGATAACCAGTTGCGATGCCCAGAGCAAGCTTATGGTGAGCTGCAACAGCTGGAGGGCGGTCAAGTAGCGCTCCCACCACAGGAACCGCTGGATACGAGGGCCCACGACACTCAGCGCATAATAGCCGTCCATAATGATGTGCACGAAGGAGTTCATCATGGCCGGAACACAGGCTACAGGAAAGAACAGATGACTGAAGACTTTAACCCATTTAAAGGGACTGGTAGTAGTCACTCGAACCCGTCGGCTTCCACTTGACGAAGACCCAGCACAGGCCAGCATGGTGCTGTGGTGATACATATGCAGGAAGCTCAGCTGCTTCCACTTATGGCGCAGGATGAGGAAGGTCGTGTCGGCGAATTCCAGTATTTTTGAGATGTAGAACCACCAAAGGGCCGCGGCAATCTGTTTTACAAAGAACCCTCTCTCAATTTGATTCTGTCAGCCGGTCTGCGGGAATTTTACACCCTTGCCGAGGATACATTTATTCTGAGCAGTAGTTCACAGGCAAGTCGCGCTGTCATTTGTTATGTGGTTTATTTTTTTTGAAACTACCTATCTGTTTTGGTTTTGTTTACAAAACTTTACCGATTTTTTATTTGCCTTTAATGGCTGAAATATTTTTGTGTTTATAAAGCTGTTTAAACTTTTAAGGTTTTAGGTTTGGTAAAGAAAACATTTTAAAATAAATCGTTTACAGCTATTGCCACTGTATTTAAGATACGCAGTCGAAAAAGGTCAACTGTAATAAAAGTGGGCAGGTTACAACTTAATTAAATATAAAGTAATTGTTTTAATTGAGCTAAAATTATTTAAGGGTAAAGGTATATTGAATCACTATATCACAATTAAGTTATTTGTCACAATCAAAAGTAAAAATAGTTATAAATTGGAAAATAAAGTGGAAAGAGTATTGATTTGAAAAAATAAAATTTTGTACTCAGCTAAAATTGAGTTTTGCAAGGGTATTCGATTAGCTAGCAAAGTAAGACTTATCTGCCGTTTTTTTTTTGGCACCAACTTACACGCATTTTATGTGGGCTATAGCTCACCCAACAGGGCTGACAGCTGAAGCTATAGTCGAGGGCCCGGGTCGCCGTGAAGAGCTCCAGGCAAATGTGGGCATTCAGCAGGGCCATGGCCAAACTGTGGCAGAACAATGGCACTCGCAGCTGCAGCGGCTTGTACCTATGCACAGATAAAAAACTTACAAAAATCCGTTTCATATTTTCAGGTTCCCCTGTATCCTTATGATAAGGGAATAAGTTTTCCCTTTACAATTCGCGATGCGAAAGGCGTCAAAAATGTTCTCGAGTCACATCAGTTTTTTTCTGTGTACGCACCAGTGGCCAGTGGCTAGTTGGATGGATTGCCTGACCTCACCTGGCTGCCCATTTGGGCCCGAAGCGCACCATCAGCAGATAGAGGACCAACAGGGCGGACACATTCCAAGGCGATTCCACCAGCGCACAGTGGCGCCTTGGGCCAAAAAACGTGCAATAAATCACTTTTTCGACTTTGTCCTAGAAAGTTGTGACCCATACCAATCGACAGGTAATTGATCCACTATTACAAATATGTAACCCTTTTTCAAATCAAAAAATTTTTGTAAAAGATATGAATTTTCAAAGTTGAACAATTTTTCACTTAAAAAAAACACACCGTTTTTAGGTAATTTTTCGCACTTCCGGGGGGTTTTTCTTAAAAACTAGGTATCGAATCGCTTTGCTTCTTTTTTCCACGGATTGGTGTGTTAGTTAAGAGTAAAAAAAGTAAAACATATTGCAGTTTGCCATGCGCATCTCTTAGTTATGAGTTATTTGCGAAACGTCCATTTTTTCCATATTTTTCAACTTTGATGGAAAATAAAAAAAACTATTTAATACTATTTTTTTTATACTTCCGTAAAACGTTATTTGGACTTTCTTCTTGATATTACGAAAGTTGTAGCTGCGTCCGCCTGCGTCCGCGGTTTTAAGAGCCAAAAAAGGGAAAAAAGTCATGGTCCAAGAAATTGCATATGGCGCTACCTTGTGAAATGACCATCTCTATTCATGGGAAACGTTTTTTATGTTATTATTGATTGTCAAATGGGGATTTTATTTTACAATTGACACTGATCAGTAAATGGGGCTGCGATGGATCATCTGGACAAAGCGTTTATAAACAAAGGATATCTTCCGATGACTCTACAGTATCGGACGGAAATATGTTTATGGCATCCGTTGTTCCCTTGAGAATTAAATCTGATGAGTTTGAATATTGGAAAAACCCTCGTCCGTCATCAGTACATTATTGCCGACCAATTATGTTTCAATTCGCAAGGGAATCACCGGAACTGATAAAAGACACTGTGAATGACATTAAAGAACAAATTCGCAAGATAAAGCCCGTAAAACTGGAAATTAGTGAAGGAAAATATGTTAAATGTTACTATGAATTTCACCTGACCATGGTTGACGGAAAAGTCGTTAATGAACTGACAAATACTAAGTCAACGAAGTCATGCCCAATCTGCAAAAGGACGCAAAAGAATTTTGGAAAAGATTTGAACGATTCTACAGATGAGGAAAATTATGAATATGAAATTTTACCCTTACATGCTCGGATAAGGTGTATGGAGTTCTTGCTGAAACTAGCGTATATTATTCCAAACGAAAATGAACACTTTGAAGAAAACACATCAAATAAGGATAAGGAAAGCATCAGAAAGAAGAGAATACAGAACGATTTTTTCAAGGAAGTTGGATTAAAAGTAGATTTCCCTAAATACGGATACGGAAACTCAAATGATGGAAATACTTCGAGGAGATTTTTTGAATAACATGAAGTTGTTACTCGAATCACTGGAATTAACACTGAAATAGTTAAAAGGTTGGGAACCATCTTAAATGTTTTAAACTGCAAGGAAAAGGTTAACTCTACAAAATATGGAGAATATGCCTCAAAAACGGCATCACTTTTAGAGGAATTGTATCCACAAAAGAAATTGACCCCGACAGTCCATAAGATATTGGCGCATGGAAAAGAAATAATCGAATACCAGTGTTTGCCAATTGGAGAGCTTTCCGAAGAAGCGCAGGAATCGCTAAACAAATTTTATAAAAAATACAGATTGCTGAATACATTTAAGACATCAAGAATGAGGGAAAATGAGGATCTGTTCAATATGTTGGCTGCATCTTCTGATCCTCTAATTTCCTCATTGCGGCATGTTAAGTCGAGAAAAGAGTTAGAATCTAGTAATTATAGTCCAGAAATGTTAAGTCTATTGGATTTACCAAGTTTACCAAATTGTGACCATTATTTCAAAAAACATGAAATATAAAAATTTTTATTTTTAAAAAAACTTTAATTTTTTTTTTTTTTTTTTTAGTTTTTAAAAATTAAAACATAAAAAAATAAACTAAACAAAACGTAATTTAAAAAAAAAAAAAAATTTTTTAAAATTCCAATTTTTTATTTATTTTTTTTTAATAAGTTTTAAAAATTACAACATGAAAAAAGAAACTAAAAAAAAAAAAAACTTTTTAAAAAAAGTTTTTTTTTTGTCGGAAAAAAATGGATTTGTTTTTAAATTCTGACTTTGCCGATTTGTAAGTACGCCTCTGCCACGCCCACTCCCTGTCTCAAGCAATAATTTGAAAGGTGGATCAATTATCTATCATTTGCCGTTTACAAAATTCAATTATCTTCACTGGTTCAAAAGTTATGATTTATTACCAAAAAAAAGTCAAAAGGCGCCACTGTGCAGCGGCCATGTCCTCGTCCGCTAGTCCGCAAATGGAATCGAATAGCTGCCAATTTTTGAACCATTTCGATCAGACACCATCGAATATGCGCTTCAAGAACTCCTGGGATCTGACTGACTAACCTGGTCAGCCGACACTCGGCCCTTATATACGGATCGCTAATGCGTTGATACTTTAATTAGATGCCGCTGGAGCATACCTTAAATTGGGGCAGGACTGGGGTTTGCCTTTAAGACTTTCAATTAGCATTTTATGACTGCTACGCTACTAGTGCACAAGGTCAGGATTTTATTTCTTGGCTCACTTTTAATTGGGTTTTCAAACTGTAATATAAAACAGTTCTTTAATTTTTTTAAAGCTTAAAGTTTATCTATAAATTTTAGGAATGTCCTTGTTACTTAACCCCAGGTTTATTTATCTGCAATTTTTCTTTTATGCGGTCAGGGCACTTCGCAAGCAGGCAACTCAATCCTTTGTTGTCGGTTTCACATTCATTTCAACTCCATTGGAATCTTGATTAAGCAGATGCATTTATTTTTCGATTGCCTCTTAATCAATGAAGCGTTAAATATAGTTACATACATATATCTTTTGTGGCGCCCTATCATCAATATTGAAAAGTGCAATTGCAGGAGCAAAAATAACAAGAAAAACAATTGGAAAGCACAATAAAGTGTGCAACGTGAGAACGGTTTGCTGATGGTGATGGGAATGGCAGGTTGATGTGATGGGAGGGAAAAATTGGAGAAGTCGGGAGGAAAGTGGTTATCCTGAAAGCCAAAAACGAAAGACAAACATTTCACTAAGACTTTTGAAGGAAGTGTAACAGTTTCTCTAAATACTCTAAACGCAGGCAAGTTATTTGATTTCTTTTAAAATAGTCATCCCTTTTGTTACGAGTTTTTTAAGTTTGAAGGGGGAAATATATTTTTAACAAACTAAAATGCCTGCAACCTGCACATTGCCTAAAAAAATAGCTTTTAAAACGGAATTAAAGGGCTTTTGATCCTTTAGGCGCTTTAATTATAGACAAAACTAAGACCATTCCAATAGCTTTAAATATTATTATTTATTTCTCCTAAACTTTATTAAAGGGTATCGTAATTTCGATTAAATAAAGCACTTGGGGTCCAGTTGTTGGCCCTCAGCGCTGGTATGTATTTGCGCTTTTCTCTGGCTTTTTGCCCTTTCATGTCTCCGGCTTCGACTCCATTTTCTATTATTGTTTTCTTTATTTGAATTGCAGTACGTGTTTGCACCTAGGGCACTTTGTGTTCCTGGCGCTGCTGTTTACATTTTGGATGCCGTCGGAGCAGCTGCGTCCAAAGGGTTGAGTTCGGCATCCGCACACTCCGCCACTTCCACTTCCACATCCTCCATTCGATGTTTGCATTATTATTATTTCGTAAGCCTTGTTCCGGCACTCGTAAAGCGCAATTGTATCGCAAGTTGACCGCAGCAGTTGGACCCATTTTATGGGCTCAATCATGGGTTTTTGGGGAGTGATTGTGGAGTGCTGCCCTCCGAATCAAGCGTCAATTTTCATTAAAATAATGTCACAATTCAGCCTCGAAATGGGTTTAGCCCCGGTTTAGGGGTCCCGACTCCGTAATGGGCACAATCGCCTCCCCATCTGCGGTTAACCGCTTAGCTTTCCCATCATCGGGAGGCTGCGCATATGCCATCATGTCCTGCGGCTACGCGTGTCCCTCGTCCCTCAGTTCTCCCTTTCCTTTCTATGTACCCTTTCATACATCCTTTCTATATTCCTCTGACCCCTAAGTGAGCTTACGAGTGCGTATAATTGAGTTATCTATCCACATTCGTATTTAAATGTTATAAAATTAAAATCTCCAACTTAAATTGTATTTTTAAAAAACTAGATATTTTGATAAACCAATAACACTATGAAAAACTATTGCTTCCAAAGTCCAAACACTTATTATAACTCAATAAATTAATTTCATCAAAATTATGATATATCTTTTTAGGGTATATGAGTATTAATATAACAATTAAAATATTTTTTTAGCCATCTCCCAAAACAATTTTATTTCTGTGTGACTCTAAATTGTAAATGAAGTTCTGCGACAGTGGCAAATACATTTAAGAGGCGGATGTCCGACCGCCTGGTTGATGGTATTTTGTCAGTCTCTGTGTGGCCCCTCTATTTGATATTTGTGAATACGAATACCGATCCATTGAAGCGTTCACAGGGCTCTGAATAATTTATTTTTGTGAAGTGATGTTGGGGTGTGGAGAGGTCCCACAAAGGTTCCACCTCCGGCAGTTCATCGTGCTGACATTGTCGCCCCCAGTGGATCATGTGGTTTATTAAATAGATTAGAGTTTTGTGCCCTCACCTTAGCTGCACATTGAACTTCACAAGTGTTGAAAGGTCACTAAGGGAAAAAACTTTATTAGTTAAAATTTGGCATACGTATTCTTAATCTTAAAAAGTCTGTGGCTTTTTTAATAATAATTTGAACAATTCTCTACAGATTTAAACTGCATTTACGGTTAGCTATAAAAGTAAAAAAAATATTAGTTTGCATGGATTTTGAATTGAAAATAATTAATTACAACAAGTAATTTTTATCAGTGCATAAGCTGGACGCAGTACTGATGCCAGGATACCATTGTCAGAAGCATTCGCATGCATGACGAATTCATGGCGGTCCGCTGCAGTTTTTGTCATCTTTGACCCCGCTGAACCCCCATAACCATGCATATGTACATATGTAAATGTATCTGGGGTTTTCCGGTCAAAGCTAAATTGTTGAATGAAAAAATAGAATATGCTAAACTTTACGGAGAAGGCGATTAACAATTCCATGAGAATATAAATCTCGAATAAAAGGTAATCTTTTAGCAAAACAAAAATATTCCATGCTTAAAATAAAAAAACGATGAGCATCATTCAAAAAAGTGTCTTAGTATCATACATTAATTCGCAATCAAATTACAGGCTTTCGATGTTTATGAAATAAACAATTTTAATGCAGCCCATAACTGGGCAGACAAATGCACTGTCGCACACGAATACAAATAAATATTATCTCCTTTTATTGCGCTTCGCTGAGATTTTTATACCCAGTGGACTTTGCACTGGCCGCATCATTATATCAATATTCGTGTATTGACAGCGGAGAGCAATTGATGTCAGTGACAAAAGGGAAATACCATCAAGCAAGTCAAGCTTCCATTGAGGGTTGTGCTTTCCTCCATTTCTCTCGATTTTCCCACTTTTCCTTAGCCTCTTCTCAAACTGGGAGAAATATTTTCTAGGGGTAACTTGTATATAATGCATAGAATAGAAGTAAACGCTAGTAAACGGATAATATTCCAAATATTTTTTATAATTCCGTTATCAAAATTTGGTATATGGTATATTTTACTTTGTTTTTTTTTGTACTTGCAGAATTCTAAAAAATTGTAAAGCTTTTGTTCTGAAAAAGTTAGATTATTATTTGAGTCATAATCTTACTTTTTTTCTTGCTGTGCACTCTTTGCCTTGTTATTGCATTGTGATTTCCTTGTTGCTGTTTGCGGGGGATTATTGAATGCGAATGACCTGACCCAGTGGCTTCTCCTTGGACTTCCTACATCGCCATTGATGCTGCTGTCCTGTGGATGTTCACTGTCGACTCGAGTCGCTTTTTGTGTTTACTCGCATTTCCTGCACATTTCCGGCTCAATGGGAATGTGGCAAACTGTTCCCCGATGCTCGCAGAAGCATGAAAAATTGTGGGCATGATTGGTGAAATACCTTGGATTTTCAACGGTATTCCTGCGACGGGTTTAATTTGGTTTGGGTGGCAGTTGGTTTTGGATTCTGCTGGGAAAAATCAAGTTCAGTTTTTGGTCACAGATCGCATGTCAAATGTTGTCCTTCTTGGCTAAGTCCTCCTTTAATTAATTTGTATTTCCTTCTATAACTTGAAATGAACCATGTAATATAAAATTCTTTATTGTAGCTATTATTATTTAATCTAATAATTCTATATCCTGTGCATAACTTTACGTATTTTAATGATATTGTTCTGTATGTACCTAGTATTACCTATTTTTACCTTTTCTGTTATATAAAAGGTAACTATCACTTTCCTTATGCGAGTCATTTGTCTCCCTACATCTTCTTTCCCTTAGCAGGTGCAACTGTGCGTGGCAATGTGTGCAACACATTTTATTTGTCTTTCCGTTGGCTGAGTTGAATCTTTTTCTGCCATCACCCATACGCCATGTTGCCGCATCTCCTAGAAACGCGTTACTTGCAATACATTTGTCATGGCTTTGGATTGTTTAGATCGGCATTACGGGATGGGTTGATGTGAAAAGGGAAGTGTGTTATAGGATGTTGCCATCTGTTTGGCTGAGTTTCAAATGCATTAGGGGTATCCAAAGAGCATACTTAAATCCAGAAAAATAATGGCTTACCATTTTGTCACCATGCTTTATAAGTCAATTTGGCTTATGATGTCTTGATGAATTGTTTTGTTCGGTTAATCTATCACTGATAGACTATCAGGAATCGACAGTTCAACAACCTTCTTTTCATTTAAGAATTTTATCTAAAAAACCATTAAAATGCCTAATCAATATAAATCGTTTAAATAACAGATTTATTAAAATAACTATGTTTACAATAGCACACATTCACTCTTCCATTGAAAAAACGAACGTGAATGCTCTTCATAATTAAATTAATTAACTGAATGGCATCTGAATTAAACTTCAACAATCGACAATCAATTCACTTTTAAGCTAACTTCGAGTCACGGAAATAAATGTTTATCCAATAAACAATTAGTTTACTTTTACCCCAGTAACTGGAAAATCGGCAACGGAATACAGCTCCTCTAGAAAAGCGATGTATGTTAATTACTTTAAGCCAAACAAAGTTAGTATTACAACCACAAGAACCCCCTGGCCCATATTCCTTGCCTTTGCTCTGTGCTAAATTAATTAAATTGAGCTAAGAAAATTCACAAACACGTTTTAGTTACGAAGAAGCAAGGCAGCATACCCGCAATTTTTAATTGCATTTTAATGACTTTATTCCGCTAAAATATGCCATTAAACTGATTAATCTCAGCCATTGACACCTCCAGGCTGTAATTAAAGCGGCCCAAGCCAAAAGGATTCCATCATAACTCGACAGCCAACGATATAAGCCCTGAAAAAATGCAACTTTCTATTGAGCGGCTGTCTGTGTCAGACGGAAATCGGGGGTATATACCATATAGTCGGAGCAGAAACAGAACGGGAACATTGCCATGTGGCATGTGGCAACGACAGTGGCATGAACAAAAAGTAAGTCCGACAATTGGCAGTTTCGCAAAATAACTTTGTTGCCGCTGCCAGTGGCCCAAAATAGCCGACACAGCATATATAACTAATACTCCCAGTTGGCAGCTGACCACAGACCAGTCATCCGACCAAATATCCAACCGCCCAAACCACCCAATCCATTCCCCGAACCAAACCGATGGACAATAAAACAAATCGAATAGAACTTCATTTTCTCCAACAATTTTTTGCTCGCTTTTCTTCTTTTTTTCTGAAGAGGGGGGTTCGGGCTTGGGCGACGTGTTCGGTTTTGTGTTGTCGCTAGCTGTGTGAAAATGGCCATAAAATGTGAAGGCAAAATCAGTGTTTAATTAAGTTATAAAAATGTTTCGGTCATTTAAGCCCGCGACCAAGAGAATTTTCGGATCGCCGTCAATAAGGGGAAATTGAAATGGAAACTTGTCGGTAGATTAGAGGGCTTTTAAAATTGTTTAAAATTGTTTGGAAGAAATAAAACATACACTTTGTATAAGATGCTAATATCATTGGCTTTGATTAAATTTAATTAAGGTCAGAAATTTTAATTATTTTGATTTTTAAGATTAACCGGTTTTTTAGACAAATACATATTTAACACAAGCCCGTTTTTTATCATGCTGGAGACAGAGTTTCACGTCGCATTTCCTGGCCATAAAAAACTTTCAGAAAAAGTACTGCATATTTGCAGGCGCCACACAAAAATTTCTTACCACTATGGACCCCGTTCTGCACTCCTTTTTTTTCATCCTAGCTTTTTTATTATTATGGAAAGGAATATTTATGAGCATTTATACATACCCTGTACGTTGGCTGTTTATTTTTGTCGGTTATATGAATCTATGACTCTATTGAAGTTGTTATTTTTTAAAAATATGTAAAATATTGCTACTCAAAAAACCGTAAACTTAATAAATTTTAAAATATGGATTGTCACTCAAAAAAATAAAAAGAAAATAATGGTATTTTAATAAAATAAATATTCAAAAATCTACATTGCACATTGTAAATGTTAGTAAGGGATTTATTTGAAAGACCAAACTATTAGGTCTTCA